AACATGAACATTGAAATAAGATAGTTCTGTGCTGTGTTTGAGAGATATATATATAGTTCAGTGGCCCTTGGCTTGGTATTGTTGGCCGAATTCGGCCCTCTGCAAAAACTAATTGAGGAACCCTGTCATAGATGCTGTTACATCACCTTGTCCACGTCCCCGAGTCCCTCGGTGTCCAGCAGCACCAGAGTGGTTCCTGCTTTAGTGGGGTGAGGCAAACACCACATACAGATGCCCTTCGTCTTGGACTCTATTGTGCTGCCCAATGCAAACCCTGATAATGACACACCAAACCCCCCACAATGACTTACATGCACGTGAACTCATTGATTTGACCTGCATGATGTTTCTCTGAAGCGTTTGGATGGCATCTGTGCTGCTTGTGTGGGTCTAACCTGTTTGTTTCCCTGCCAGTCGATTCATCAGCTAGGACTTCCCGGTGCGGTAGAGACCCACCACAGTCACCACCACCACGGGCTGCTGGATCTGCTCCAGAACCTGCAACGCTGACTGCTGGACACACAGCTTCCCATCGGACGCCGTGTCAATCAGGGATACTGGTTTGTCCATGGCCACTGGAGATGGAGCTGTCCAACAGACAGAAAGACATTTAACTTCCTTTAATTAACTGCAGTGCAGTAGAAGTGAAAGTTAGCGGGGGTTGAGAAATACTCCAATAATCCTATATTAGACAGTACTGTAATTCCCCACATGAGCAGCATTTCCTCTTTCTGTTTGGGGATGTTTGGGTAAATTTGGTGTTTCTCATATTGCCTTAACAACACACATTCACAACAAATTACACAAGCATGACAAGTTGCTGTAAGATGTGTTTGTGCGCAGCTACAGTCTGAAACCTGACTGGCTTTAGTTGATGCTTGTTTCTACTAGAAAGGTAAAATAAAAGTAAATAGTGTAATATAAACAAAGTCCTTTAAAGCTATAACAAAATATGGCCAGAACATCTATCAAGACAAGTCGTCAAGTAAAGTTCACTAACACACACACACACACACACACACACACCGGTTGGTATGTGTGGTTT